GTAATGTACCGGTAACATCAAGTGTATTCACACAAATAGGTGACTAGTATTGTATCGGTAACATCAAGTGTATTAACAAAAATGGGTGACTAGTAATGTACTGGTAACATCAAGTGTATTCACAAAACACGAATAGTGAATCCTGTGATTTCTGAGACAAAATCACAGAAACTAGTGCACACAAGCTGGACTTCAACCAACCAAGTTAAGTTTGACTGATATGTGACGTCACATATATGCCACTTCATGGAAGGTTTTAACCACCCTTGCTTGCAGTGTTGAAAAGCTTTGGGACAAGATGGCCAACAGAATGTTATGTAAAAAGGTGCTAATATGTAAGTTTGAAAGATAAAATGCAACAGTGTTTGTTGTTTAAATAAAATGTATACATTTGTTGCAAATTCCCCTTGCATAGATACAGATACAAACATGTGGCACCTATTATGTTCACATAACATGACTTCCCAGAAAAGACTCTTTTGTTGCCACAGATATAGCTTCCCTGGCAGCAACATGAATATAATAATGAAAACCACAAAGTATATCCTAAGAAAAGTAAATTGTTTTGAGTAAAAGAAAGCAATACATACCTCACAACCTGGATTTTTAAGTAAATGGAGATTCCCATTTCTCATTTTGAATCCAGATTCCACCAAATTATCACTCAATTGTGGAAGACCAAATTGAAGTCCTCCATTCTTGCTGCATGATATTGCACGTGTTTGAAATGCATTTGGTGTTCGACTGTTTAGGCATAACAGATTGTTATCAAGTTCAACAACCTGGAAAGACAACAAAAATAGATCTAGTCATAAGTGTTTATATATTTTTAAAATCTAACATTGAATGAGTGTATAAAAATTGTTAATGTATCTGCTAGGAATGCTCTGACAATGTGTAGGATATGTTTATTTTGCCACCGTTTTACATTGTTGGACAAATTTAAGTGTAAATCATATCAAAATAGCCATTCAAGTCTGCAAGATATGATGCAGTGTGACAACTATGATGCAGTGTGACAACTATGATGCAGTGTGACAACTATGATGCAGTGTGATGCAGTGTGACAACTATGATGCAGTGTGACAACTATTATGCAGTGTGACAACTATGGAGTGCGATAACTATGATGGAGTGTGACAACTATGATGGTGTGTGACAACTGTGACATGGTTTGACAACTATGACGTGTGACAACTAAGATGATGTGTGGCAATTATGATGCAGTGTGACAATTAAGATGCAGTGTGGCAATTAAGATGCAGTGTGGCAATTAAGATGCAGTGTGACAATTATGATGCAGTGTGACAATTATGATGCAGTGTGGCAATTAAGATGCAGTGTGGCAATTAAGATGCACTGTGGCAATTAAGATGCAGTGTGACAATTAAGATGCAGTGTGGCAATTAAGATGCAGTGTGACAATTAAGATGGAGTGTGACAATTAAGATGGAGTGCGACAATTAAGATGCAGTGTGGAAATTAAGATGCAGTGTGGAAATTATGATGCAGTGTGGCAATTAAAATGCAGTGTGGCAATTAAGATGCAGTGTGGCAATTAAGATGCAGTGTGGCAATTAGGATGCAGTGCGACAATTAAGATGCAGTGCGACAATTAAGATGCATTGTGACAATTAAGATGCAGTGTGACAATTAAGATGCAGTGTGACAATTAAGATGCAGTGTGGCAATTATGATGCAGTGGGGCAATTAAGATGCAGTGTGGCAATTAAGATGCAGTGTGGCAATTATGATGCAGTGGGGCAATTAAGATGCAGTGTGACAACTATGATAATGTTTGACAACTATGATGGTGTGTGACAACTATGATGGTGTGTGACAACTGTGGCATGGTTTGACAACTATGACGTGTGACAACTAAGATGGTGTGTGACAATTATGGTGCAGCGTGACATCAATGCCACGGTGTGAAAACTATGACACAGTATGACAACGCCAGTATGACAATGCAGTATGGTGCGCATCAATTTCTCACCGTGGCTTCATTAGTCATTATGATATTTTCAAAGCTGTCCCATCCAAGTGGAACAGTACCACCTGGGCTCCATGTACTGCCACCATCATCACTGTAAATAACTGTAGAAAAGTCGTACGTGAACTTGCCACCTGTTGATATGGGAATTAAGAACAAGATGAATTTAGAGGCAAAGAACAAAATTTACATCTGACCATTTTTCTGAATGAATTTTTAATGGTGACATGGAAATAAAATTCAATGTGCATATTCATACATTTAATTACACATTTATCATGCTAATATACTTTGACCATGTATTTTACTACAGCAAACTGAAGATAAATAGACTGTCTATACAGACATAGGCAAATAGTGATTCCATTTGACATGTGCATTATTTATATCACAGAAAGTAGTAATTGCACAAACAGAAATGAGGAAAATTATTGCAACATTCATTAACGCAAACCATGTGTAACACATGATTTGCAATTAAGTAGGAACACTAAGAAAAACAGCCTAAAACAAAAATTAATATAATAATATTTCTAGATATTTACGTAATTTGTTTTGTAGTTTCATGATCATCAAAATTCCATTGACTTTGTACCAAGAACTTCATTAAATATCATATAACTTTCAATTTTGTAAATCCTTGGTATTGTATTATGCAAATTTATTGTAATATATTTATATAAATTTCATAAATTTCAGATTCTACATACTAACTTATTAACTAATCAAATATGTTCTAAAGCAATATGCAAATAAAGTACCCTGTTTATGGAAAGAAATCATACTACTTAGAAGCTGCATTTACCTGGCACTTTTTTAACATGTACATTCCCTTGTGCAATCAGTCTACCAGACTTTAACTGGATTCCATGACCAGGCCCTAAAATATTAAAGTGAATCAATTTATCAGTATTTAACAGCGAGTTTAACATTCAAATATTCCAATGCTATGAGAAGAAACTGTGTATTATGAAAGTTTAGGAAGTTAATTGTTTTAATTTACTCCCACTTTTTGTATTTGTAGTCAATCTGAATATTTTTGAATATATTGCAATGTTGTTAATATTCCAATTATCATGGTTATTGTCATTCTTGTTTGGAGGAATAGAAAGAACTTGACTGTTCCGTAAACCAACACCTGCATATAGGAACGTGTGAATGACATTTTGGCGACCAGCTAAGTATTTAAAGTTCGTTTTGAAAGTATTTCTCTCAAATGATTTCTTTCTTGATGAGTGTTAAATTATGAAATAAATACAAACTATTTATAATAAATGAATTAATTTTTTGAAACAAAGTGTAAAACATTATGATGAAACTGAGAGATATCTAAAAATTAGTTTATAACTAGAAGCCATGAAATCATACTGATGATTTAAAATAGTGAGAAGGATTTGATGGCATTTTATCTGTCTGTTGTCTCGTAGTGTATATGTGTAAAATGACCGAGTTTAGAGGGAAGGATTTGATGGCATTTTATCTGTCTGTTGTCTCATAGTGTATATGTGTAAAATGACCGAGTTTAGAGGGAAAAGTTCGCCATAACTGGACAGTGATTATTTACATAATTACCACGTGACAAAAAATGGCAAACGTTGTAAGAGCACACTGTAAAATTTTGCTTGAAATTTTTGCCATCCATTGTTTGTAATAGAGTCCATTGAAATGTTGTGTCTCTGATAATCAAATGATCTATTCTTCCAATTTCAATGCAGGTTTGTTTTATTGTTTCCTAATTATTTCATACTTGGCACCTTCACACTCGATTTGACGACGGTCCCAATGAGTTGTACTCGATCAAAACATAAACATGAAAATAACATGTAAAACAGTTTCGGATAATAAAACACTGTAGATTTGCTGCATTATTATAAACATATACTATTAGACGTATTAACCACTAATTTCATAAAACTATTTAGTGTGTTAAATCACGAATAATTTTGAGTGTGAACATGAAAATTGAAGAAAACATCTGGCATTTTGAGTCCTGTACTGCTGGAGCGTTCGGGAAGCTGGCTTCCATTGTTATGCAAGTGAACCATCCAGGAACAATCCTCTGACAAACATTACTGTCCCACTGTATATGCTGACTGTTTACAGACAAGCTAATCCGTCAAGTGTCTATACTATTATCATGGTGAAACCAAATTACCAATTGAAACTGTTTTTGGCTATGCTATATCAATTTTATGTTCTTTCTTCGTTATTAGCAAGTATAATTTGTTATGACTATGTTAATTACTTTGAACTCCAAACAAATCATGTACTGGGTCAAACTGTATCTAGACAATCAACTTTGTTTTATTAATATTGTTTTGTAAGAGAAAAAAACTAAATGCAATCTCGGAATACTGATTATTTATGTCGACGTCAAATTAACCACTTTCATTCGTATCTACTGTGCCTACACTTGAATCAACACTACCGGTAGAACTTAATGTAATACTTGGTGACATAATTTGTAATAAATTTTGCAGTTATGATGCGTACAGGTATGTGAATGCACAAACTCGTCGTTGCTTTTGAACCACTCAGTTATAATATAACCCTGTGTCGCTGGTCACAGTGTCTTTGTTATCAGCGTAATTGTTTTCCTTGTAATTGCATTAGTAAAATGGTGAAGGTAAAATAGAATACTGAATTTGAAAATAATACGAAATAAAAAATGATTTAAAAGAAAGATGTGCATAGTTATGCCTTAATGCTGACAATTAATTGTTGTTGAATAAACACAGACTGTTTGCAAAAGAAAGTTTAATTATCATCCATTATATCATAATAGTCAACAACAGAGTATGTACATAAGATCATATTTACATGTATTAATTTTTTTTTAAGCCGTTCCAAAGATACACATTATGCAAATATCCATGATATGGCAGCCGTAGTTATTTTTGTTAGTGTTTAAAAACTAATTTGAGCAGCGTCCTACCAAAATTTTGATCTTTTGAAAAGCTGGTTTAATGTTTCAATGACTAAGTAACAGTTTTATCGATTTTTGAAAAATCAAGAACAAAATAAAAATTCCCCTTCTTGCTACCTTAATAAGAAATGGTTTTGTAAGATATCTTACCAGTTGCAAACATTGATGGTATTCGTCTCATTGCATTAAGAGTACTGGCAGTAATATCAACTGGAATGCTCCATGTTCTCCCAAGGTCTGTACTCTAAAATAATAATAATTTAGGCATCAATATTGAAACATTTCCTGGCACCAAAATTAATGTTTCATCAACATCGATATATTACTACCATGTTGTATGCACCACTGTCGATACTTCGAAATTCACAAAATATTTGTGGCTGCATCACCCAGCATTCGGTTTTTCGAATGAAAAAGCATGGCAGATATCGTTTTGGTGTTTGTGTGCATCCAAAAGTGTACGTTTACGATAAAAAGTTAATTCTACTTGCAGGCCAATAAACTGATTTCTTGTACGTAATTATAATCATGACTGTGTGATAATCACTTCAAAAATAAGTATTAAGTTATTTGCCGTGAAACATCAAGTCTGCATTGCACTACTGGTGAATGTTTGCTAAGCAATGTGAGACCGTGAAGAAAAAAAATCATCACGAAACCTGAGAGAGGTCTACCTGAGGTACCTATATGTATATAGTATCAAAGCAATCAGACTTTCGGTTGTTAAGTCGAAAATATCACTTTTCACCCAAAATGACAAAAATATTCATCAAAATTAGAGAATTAAAGATATCATCACGAAATGAACAAATCTGAGAGAAGTCCACAATGTCATGTAGTACCTAGATATGTAATGTCAAAGCAATCGGACTTGCGGTTTTTAACAAGAAGTCGAAAATATCACTTTTCATCAAATATAGAGAATTTGAGATTTTGACATGAAATGAACAAATCTGAGAAAGAACCATCAAAGGTACTCGCATATCAAATTTGAAAACATTCTGACTTGCAGTTTTGAAGAAGAAGTTGAAATTGTAAAGTTGACGACGTCAACAGCGGAGCTAAAAAATATAATGTATATGGCAAGCACCCAGACAAACCTTCAAACCTGTTTACTTTGTATTGGATATATAATAATAATAATATTTGTAATTACCTTCATGACCATAACTAATTGATGGTATGTGACATTTTTTATTAACTGTGATTCAGTCATTCCAGGTGGAAATGCAACAAAGATAAGTATTATAGCATCCCTAACATGGTCTACAATTGGCGTGGGACACATTGATCTGAAAAATAAATAAATATATCTATTAGGGAAGATTGTTTAAACAAGCAGCCTGTTGGCTGAGATAGCTCTGCTGTTAGCAATGCACATTTCAATTAAAGAACAGAAGAAATCTGAGAGACGTCTACCAGAGGTACCTATATGTATAGTACCAAAACAATCAGACTTGCTGTTTTTAACAAGAAATCAAAAAACATTAATCAAAATTAGAGAATTGAAGATATCATCACAAAATGAATAAAGAGAGATCTACTTGTAGTACCTATATATGTAATATCAAAGCAATCAGCCTTGCGGTTTTTAACAAGAAGTCAAAAATATCATTATTTACCAAAAATATTCACCAGAATTAAAGGAAATATCATGAAATGAACAAATCAAAGAGAGGTCTACCCAAGGTACATATAACAATGTATCAAAGCATTCAGGCTTGCAGTTTTCAAGAAGAAGTCGAAAAAGTAAAAACTTGACACGACGGATAATCACTCGTATGATAAGCTCCGCTCGACAAAATCAGCAGCGGTGCTAAAAAACAACGAGTTAAAATTGCAAGGCTTTATTTAATTTAATATTTGCCTATTTTTCATATTTTAATTTCCCTTCCTTTATTTTGAGTGTGGCAACTTTATTGTGCTAACATTAATTAATTAATATGCTAATGTATAGAAATGATAATATATAAAGATTACTATTATTTGCAGCTCATGGTTGAACAGAAGAAGTGTACAAGAGTATGTGTTAGCCAGACGACCGACAACAACAAGAGCAGTATACACTCTATAAAGGTTTTATCATATACAATTGTTTTCAGCACTGGTTTTTCATTGATTATAGATCTTAATCATATTTTTCATTTATTCAAAAGTTCAGTGTGTGAGCGTTCTAACATTTGATTGCTAGTATTGCAACTATTTATAAAACCAAATTTTGTTCGGATTTGTTCTCTAAATATATTACTGTATCTGACAGCTAGTTGTAGCTAATGTGACTAATGTTATTTTTTTATAAAAGGATCTTCACAACATAACAACATAATTCTATACTACCACAATCAAGTTTGCTACAAATTTCAGCTGCAACACAATGTTATGGTAACTGGGTAGAACCAGTTTGAAGAGTGTGCTGATTTAAGTTATCAAATGAATATCGGTAGGTTAGTCTAAATATGGTCAAGCAGTGCCTGGTGTGGAAAACTGTTGCATGGTTTGCTTGTCAGGTTTCTCATAGCATTACAATACAAGCTATATGATAATACAATTTTAATGACATAATTTTTCCCAACAACATTTTCTTTAAGTATGTAATAAATGTCTAAAATTTGAGTCACTTACTCTGTATATATTGATACCTAGCTAAATAATCGAATACAAAGGAATACAATTGTTGAAAAACATTCACTAAACACAAAGAACATCATTGTCAAAAACCACTAATAATTATATTCTTGGTTGGAGACGCTAGACCATCTTCAATGTGGTGTCACAGCCCATGGTCTAGTTGTCACATCACTGTAATAAATGTGGTGTCACAGCCCATGGTCTAGTTGTCACATCACTACAATCGATGTGGTGTCACAGCCCATGGTCTAGTTGTCACATCACTACAATCAATGTGGTGTCACAGCCCATGGTCTAGTTGTCACATCACTACAATCAATGTGGTGTCACAGCCCATGGTCTAGTTGTCACATCACTACAATCAATGTGGTGTCACAGCCATGGTCTAGTTGTCACATCACTACAATCAATATGGTGTCACAGCCCATGGTCTAGTTGTCACATCACTACAATCGATGTGGTGGCACAGCCCATGGTCTAGTTGGCACATCACTACAATCAATGTGGTGTCACAGCTCATGGTCTAGTTGTCACATCACTGCAATCAATGTGGTGGCACAGCCCATGGTCTAGTTGTCACATCACTGCAATCAATGTGGTGGCACAGCCCATGGTCTAGTTGTCTCATCATTGCAATCAATGTGGTGGCACAGCCCATGGTCTAGTTGTCACATCACTGCAATCAATGTGGTGGCACAGCCCATGGTCTAACTGTCTCATCATTGCAATCAATGTGGTGGCACAGCCCGTGGTCTAGTTGTCACATCACTGCAATCAATGTAATGGCACAGCCCATGGTCTTGTTGTCACATCACTATAATCAATGTGGTGTCACAGCCCATGGTCTAGTTGTCACATCACTGCAATCAATGTAATGGCACAGCCCATGGTCTAGTTGTCACATCACTACAATCAATGTGGTGGCACAGCCCATGGTCTAGTTGTCACATCACTGCAATCAATGTAATGGCACAGCTCATGGTCTAGTTGTCACATCACTGCAATCAATGTGGTGGCACAGCCCATGGTCTAGTTGTCACATCATTGCAATCAATGTGGTGTCACAGCCCATGGTCTAGTTGTCACATCACTGCAATCAATGTAATGGCACAGCCCATGGTCTAGTTGTCACATCATTGCAATCAATGTGGTGGCACAGCTCATGGTCTAGTTGTCACATCACTGCAATCAATGTGGTGGCACAGCCCATGGTCTAGTTGTCACATCACTGCAATAAACCTGTTTCCTATTTCAGGATTGTCAATCGGCAAAGCAAAGGGCAAAGGGCATCAGTGATTGTTTGTAAATATGGATCTTATTTGAAACTGATATTTCTGAAAGGGACATAATCATGTTCAAAAACACAAAGCTGAGCTTTCAGGAATAAATTTGTATCTCAATAAATGTGTGAAAAAGAAATTTTGTAATTATAGTTCAATAAAACTCGCAAAAACATTGCTGACATACTCAAGTCACCAAATGCAGCTCTACTTTTATACGAGTAGGTATACTGACTGCTCAAACACTAAATTCAGCGTCTTCACATACTTACTCATATTTCATACTGAATTCAAGGAAAAGTCTTCACGTACTGTCGCATATTTCACAATGAATTAGTGTAATTAATGTAATTAGTTTTGCTAAGTGGAGTTCTCCACACATTGCCAATAAAATGTCTACCAATCAATCAGTAAAATGCGTTGGTAGTGATCCACGGAGGATTTCTGGCAGCAATGTGTTTTGAAATTCTGAATAGGGCTTGAAATGCTTAACGATTTTCACCAAAAGTTGATCCCAACTGCCATGTTGGATTTCCAAATAAAGCAAGAATATTGAGGGAGAAATTATCATCTGTACATCAAGCAATTACATCTAAGTTTCTTATCCACTAAGAGACTGTAGTGCATTGTGTCACACCTTAGGTAAGTGGAAAAGAACCAAAAAGACAGACACAATTTGAGGTGTGGAGGTTCCCCTTACTATGCAGCAACTTACTATATGCAGATTTTATTTTGTGGATAATGAAAAAAAAAATTGATTTTCATGTCTGACAGTGAAGCTAAAAGTAGCATGGTGGTATTGATTTTTTCACTGAATTTGTTTATTGTTTGTATTAATTGGTGAAAGAATAGTGAATTTTGTTTTATGATAGACACGGCTAACACAATTTTGTGATACAATAATTTCTTGAACTACGATAGATTTTTATCATTAACACTGACCTCATTCCTGGTACTGCAGCAATAAGCATAGTTTCCTCCCACTGAATCTGGTTATTACGATTACGATGACCTCGTTTAGCAATTATGTTAATGTTGCCGGCATCACCGTGAGATTCGGCTCGCATCTCACAAAATGCAATGTACACATTTTTATGATAAACAAGGGCTGGAATTCTGAATTGAAAAACAATTTTATATCATAAACATATTAAATTCTTAACTTTGTTAAAATGAAGAATTTGACATGCATATCTCTCATGGTGCTATTGATTTAGACATGACAAACTGACATACATGTAGGTGATTTCATGTGAGACCACACTATGTATATTAGTATAGGGTCATGTATTTACCCATATAGTTCCATGAATTAATATCTTCATAATTAGCATAAAACAATATCACATTTATATAGAAAATTTAGTCTGTTATTTTTTGCTGCACATAATTCCATGGATACATGGTACAATTTTATAAGATATATGATGCGCAATGATTGAATATAAAATATAATTTAAGTATTCTCACCTTACAATGCTCCAGCCAAACATGTACTTTGGAAACACAACCCTACCAACATCTAAAATGAAACGGAATTTTAATTAACACAGTGTTTGATTGCATTGAAGTACAACTGTTATAGAAAAGTGTGTACATTTACAAAACAAATGAACAAACGTGCATCTTGATAAAAATATGATTTTTCATAAATTCAACAATTTTGACAAAAACCAGAGGTATTCGTTAGATCCTGAACAACTCTGATGCATGTTTATACACTGTAATTAAAATACAAAGTGTTCAGTATTTCATTAATTCATAAGTATTATGTATAATTATTCCAATCTAGAATTAGAATAGAATAAAGTTAGAATATTGGCGAAAATGAAACAATTATTCTGAGAATAATTGATTAATTCACTGTCTAGCTAATTCAGGATGCTGGTTACAATGCTAAGAGTTTGACAGTTGTTTCATGTGTAGTCACACCGAGCAAAAACTGCGATGAGATAGATTACATAATATCAGAAATATTTTAAAATTTAAATTATAAAACAATGAAAACAAGATAATAATGAATAAGTAATATGATGATTTTAGTCCATTAC